TCTCATAAAACCGAATAATTTTTATAAGACCTAATTCACCCCCCCCCCCTCTTAGGCACTCTGGGACTTACAATTGGCATCAGAGCAAGTTATAGGTAACTTGTTCCTAAAGATCCAGAATGGCTTCCGCAAATCATCAACCAGTCTTCAGAGATAGTGGTAGTAACAACAAGCCTCCTCTATTCTGTGGTGAATATTTTGACTTCTGGAAAATACGCATGAAGGCGCATTTAGAAGCACAAGGAGAGGAAGTATGGGATGCTGTTGAAAATGGTCCATTTATCCCGATATCAGTAATCAATGGCATTGGTTCTGCAAAGCCCAAAACTGCATGGGACGACGATGATAAAAAGAAAGTTCTCTATGACAAAAAGGCAATAAACCTTCTTCAAGGTGCACTCAGTATGGACAAATTTTTCCGTGTCTCGAACTGCAAGACAGCAAAAGAAATATGGGATACCCTGGTTCAAACTCATGAAGGAACGGCTGAAGTAAAAAGATCAAGGCTAAATACCTTGAGTCAAGAATATGAACTATTTCGAATGCAGCCCGGAGAATCCATTCTTGACTTACAAAAGAGATTTGTGCATTTGACAAATCACTTAAATGCTCTTGGTAAAACCTTGTCAAATGATGAACTCAACTTGAAAATCCTTAGATCATTGACTAGGGAATGGCAACCAAAGGTAACGGAAATCTCGGAAAAGAAGAGTCTCTCCGCAATGACTTCTGCTACATTATTTGGCAAACTTCAAGAATATGAAACGGAACTCGGTAGACTTGAAAAACATGAAAATTTAGAGAAGAAATCCAAAGGCATTGCCTTGAAAGTTGATTCAAAGGAAAGTCAAGATAAAGATGCATCGGAGGAAGATGAAAACTTCTTGCTTCTTGTAAAAAGGTTAGGAAAATATTTTGGTCATAAAAATAATCTTCATAATGCTAACTTTGTCAAGAGGAAGAAATTTTATAATCATAAAGATAAAGAAGCCTCCACATCAACACAAGATGTCACATGTTATGAATGTGGAAAGCAAGGTCACATAAAGCCGGATTGTCCAAAACTCTCCAAGAAAAATGGATTCAAAGGCAAAAAGGAGTTCAAGAACAAAAAGGCTTATGTTGCATGGGAAGATAATGAGATAAGTTCTTCATCCGATTCGGAAAGCGAGGAATGTGCAAATCTAGCATTAATGGCTTCACATCACTCCGACAATGAAGAAGAGGTTAGTAATGAATTTAATCTTTTTGATGATGATGTTCAAGATGCTATTGATGAACTCTTGAGAGAATGCAAAAGTTTATACAAAAAGGTGTCAAATCAAGAAAAAGAACTTCTAAGTTGTTTAGAAAAAATTGACACCATGACTAAAGATTTTGAACTTCAAAAACAGAATTTTATTAAAGAAAAAGAAAACTTTGCATGCTCCAAGTGTGAATCAAATGTCTTTCAAATTGTTCAATTAAAAAGAGTCATTGAACGATATGAAAAAGGACAAATAGGATTGGAAGGATTACTAAGCCAACAACGTTATCCTAATGATAAAAGGGGTCTTGGTTATGTGAATTTTAAGAAACCAAGTAACAATCCCACTGTTTTTGTAAAGGCTAGTAATAGTTCCAAACCCAAGAAAGTTGAAAAGAAGCAAGTTGTTCATAATCATCAAAAGAAAAAGGCAAATGTATCGAAAAAGAAAACATTTCCTAAGAAGAAATCTTATCCTTCTAGATATAGAAGTAACTTTGAACCTACTTGTTTTTATTGTGGTATTAAAGGCCATACACCTAATGCTTGCTATGTTAGAAACTTTAGTATAGCAAGTGGGCATTATGTGTGGGTGAAAAAGGGAACTAACTATGAAGGACCCAAGGCAACTTGGGTACCTAACAAAGAATAATTTGTTTGTGTAGGTATGCTTGAAATCCACATCAAATGTTTGGTATCTTGATAGTGGATGTTCAAAGCATATGACAGGAGATGTACACCAATTTTCATATCTAGTACATAAAGCCAAAGGGTATGTCACCTATGGAGACAACACCAAAGGAAAGATTCTTGGCGTTGGAATAGTGGGCACACCTCCATCCATTCAAATTGATGATGTTCTCTATGTTGAAGGATTAAAACACAATCTTCTTAGCATAAGTCAACTTTGTGATAGAGGGTTCAAGATCAAATTCAACAAAGATGAATGTCTCATTATGGATGAGGCAACCAATGAGGTAAAACTTAAAGGTATAAGATCTAACAATATTTTTATGATTACTTTAGATGATTTGTCTTTGAAGGTACAATGTCTTATGGTAAACAACAATGACGCTTGGTTATGGCACAAGAGGATCGCTCACATTCACATGGAGCACTTGAACAAATTGGTTAAGCATGACTTAGTTATTGGTCTACCAAAGATGAAGTTCATCAAGGACAAATTATGTAATGCATGCCAAAAGGGCAAACAGACCAAAACAACTTTCAAATCTAAGAATGTGGTGTCTACTACAAGGCCACTACAATTGTTACACATGGATCTCTTTGGTCCATCAAGAACAAAAAGCTTGGAAAAGATCTTGGTATTTTTGAAGAAGGTGATCACTAAATAGTTCTCACAAGGTGCACTCCTTCTTTTATATATGCTTTTATAAAATATGTGTGTATATATTGTTTGTACAAAACTTTTCCTTTCATAATAAATTTTCAAGTTTTTGGCAATTTTTGCATGTGGAACCCGGTTCCCATAATGATAGGAAATGGTTCCTGGTTCATTTTCCAGAAACGCTATTTTTTTCAAAAACCAGGAACCGGGTTCACTGTAGTGCAGAACCGGTTCCCAGCATGCAGACCGGTTACACGCCCTTTCATGTGCTTAAGTGCTTTTTAAATGAGTTTTATGTCATAGTCAACATTCATCTCTTCTAAAACCCTTCCACCTCCATTGACACACCTCATAAAAGCTCCAACATCTCTTTGTCTTCACCAACATATTAATACCCACTACTACAAATCACTATAAAACCACTTCTCCTTCCATATTTCATACTCAAATATTCCAATCTCTCACCTATTCCGAAAATCCCAAATCAAAACCCCAACTTTCAGATTTATCACAAATCTCCATGGGTCCTAAGAGAGCTACCAGATCCAGCAAGGGAAAGGCTCAGGTTGAAGAGACTTCCAACATTCATCCTCAGACCATCAAATCCAGAAGGCTCACCTTTAAATCTCGCAATAGGAAGGTTCTTAAAGCTAAGTTTTGTAGACTTCATACATTTCCTATTCATAGCTTTTTATTTCCTGCTCAGTTGGCCTCTGCTGGGGTTGCTAGATTTGTAGGTAACAATGGTGAAGTGTTTCCTGACCTTGTTAGAGAATTTTATCACAACTTAAAACTTGTACCTGATGAATTTGGTGATATTACTCTAACCTCTCATGTTCTGTCAAAGAGTATCTGTTTAACTGTTGAGGAATTTGGTGCATTGTTGGGTGTTCCGCATGAAGGTTTGGTTCTGGTTAATGGTGTTATTCCACATGATTGGCTACCTTTCAATAAGGCAGAAAATTTTTAATAACATGTATAGGCCAAATCAACAGAATACTGCGCGTCAACAACTTCTCACATCTTCAAATTTTTTTGGCTCAAATCTTTCTGTAAGTGACAGAATGCTCCATCTCATTATTGCATACATCCTCTTTCCGAAGAATTCTAACCATTCGCGTATAAATGAGTTTGAACTAATGGTCCTTTATGCTTTAAGACGCCGTTGTTCGGTAAATTGGGCACTTTCCATTATGTATCATATGCAGCTTATGGAATCTCTTGATGGTGGTTTACCATATGCTCGAGCCATTTCTCACATTTTGGAAAATGCACATGTTAACCTTCAACGAGAAGTGACAAGGATTCAAGGAGATAAAGAGGCAATTACAGATGCAACCGCACTTAAAATTTTGTGATTAATTATCTATAAAACTACTTATATATGTGTCTACCTAAGATTTTTCCTCCATAAACACACTTATCCCCTTTTGAGTGTGTTTATGTGTTTCCTAGTTTACTTTGTCTGTTTGTACAAGAGCAGATCTAGTAACTGGCGGGAAACGCATTGTGCCTTTCAGCCAATACCATATGTTTGATCAATCACATGTACCAAATTATGCCCTCTTAATATTTTAATGTTAAAATAAAACGTTTTAGAACGAGGCGGTGCGACAACATGAAGGACGATAATAGTGTGAAGAAGAAAACGACACTATCCAAGGCACCGGTTAGAGAAATGAGTAATATTGGTCTACTTTTAAGACTCATACGACTTTATTTTAGCCTTTTAAAGAAATTTTAAAAAATAGTACATAAGTTGATCTGAAGCGCGTGATTCATCTAACGCATGAGATTGTGTCAAAGTTTAAGCCAATCCTAGTCCGTCGTGTAACCAGAAAGATGAAACCAAATTGTGACTAGAGAATGCTGACACTTTTTTTATTCTTCTCGAAATAAAGGTAAAGGGGAAAGCATAAGGGATAAAGTTTACAACACAATGCAGTGTCAGCTTGAATATGAAGCAAGTCTTTTTATGAAGTTGATAGAATATGATAAACTCAACGTGTCACAAATAAATTAGGCAATGATCTTTTCATGTACTTATATAAGATTAAATGGCCACTTGAAATTTGAGATTCTGCACTCATCCACACTTAAAATATGAGTTTATACCAACAAACACATTTCATCAATCCTTGTCTCTCACTTTGACCAAAACCAAAATCATTGTTTCACCAAGGCTACAAAAGAAGAAGGCCAAAACCCTTCTAGTTTTGATGTGGTGAAATATTCATCAGTACAAATAAACAAACAGAAATTCCATAGCAAGAAAAGCTATATTCATAAACTGTACAATGTAGTCTCGTGTAGACGTGTAGTAAATTAGTAAAATGGCCTGCTCTATACATAATAAGTTATGCAGCCACTAGCTTTGTCATGGGAAAGAAGCACACAAATATCAATTCAACTTTGATTTGAGTCTTGTTGATTTTGCACTACAGATTGATTGTGGTTGGATTCACCTGATCGTGGCGTGTTTGCAGGCCGAGGTTGTTGTCCTACTTGTGTTATCGGTAGAGGGCCATGGAATAGCTCTGATGAAGCCTGCTGTCTCCTTCTCCATCTAAAAAGCTCAACAAGGAAAGAACTTACACTCATTACCACGCCAAAACCAGCAAATGTTGCAAGAAGGATTGATAGAACTGCTTGCACATGAACCTGTAAATGACTGATATCGTTAAAAGTCAGAAATCGGGATGCTAATTCTTCTTCATGGAGGGGGTTTTCACAAGTGGAAAGTACATGTATGTTTCGATATTGATTCGTCAGAATGAATCAGGATTCAAGATGAGTATTATCAATCTTTTTCTAAAGTGAAAAGTACAGGTAACAAGTTTAAGATTCACATAGAAATTGGTTACCAAGGAGTAAAATATATGTGCGAAGAGAACCACCAGAGCAAACTGGAAAGATGCATAAATCCATATGAACCTGCTCTTCACTGGACACAAAAGAAAAATGGTTAGTTTAACATAGTTGACTCCACTAAGTTTAGGTGATGATTAACCATAATGGATAAGGATTCATGTCCAAATATATACGCGCTAGAGATTTTTATTGATTGGATTCAATTTAGTATTGAATTGAAATACGACTCGCGTGTATTGTAAGGGTGTGAATCTATTACACACATGACCAATTGAATTTGACTGATCAACCATTATTAATTCAAAATTGATGATGAGTTGTTATAAAAAGCTTATTGATAATATTTATCAATGTTTTGCAAACCTACCCATGGTTGATGATGTCATGGAGGAGAGCAGGCCTAGTACACAGGAAAATGGAAGGGATATGGCAATTGCACCTGTTCCCATTTTTGTAACCTACAAAGAGGAGAAAATCAGAAGCTATTTTGGTAAAAAGACAAACTATTTTGTGTAATAGAATTCTAAGAAAATTACTAAAGACATTGCAAAATTGACAGTTCATTGAAGAGGATTGTTAGTCTTACCAACAGTTGCTCAAGAAAACAGAAATATGCCAACATGCTAACAATGACAAGCACTGGAACTTCCTGCCAAACCCTATAAAATTGAGCAGACAAATAAAATGGTTCATAATTCTTGAAGATTGAATTATATCAATGAAGCTCCAAATCGAAGCTTATAGAAATAAATAAAAAAAGATATTTATCGGATCTAGATTGTGTGCGGTCACAGAGTTTGTGACCGCATGCATACACTCATAGTGCGCACAATCCAAATCTGTCTTTATGATACTAAAGTAGACGTGCCTGTACCCGTTTACATCTTCGAGCTGAGATCTACTTGCTCCAGTAATTCGATTTCGAACACTTTGAATCCGTAACAGAGTGACAGGAAGGTTTCTAACATCCTCCATGCAGACATCACAAGTTCTATTACCCTTTATACTAAACCATTTAATAGCACATTCTTGGTGAGCCAAAGCAAGTTCACCTTTGCAGCTACATTCCAACTTGAATGTCTCACCTCCTTCACATAATTCAACCAAACAAATTCTACACACTGCCTCCTCTTGAGCTATATCTTGGCCATCATCAGCATCTTCGATTTCTGAACCAAGAAAGCATTTTGAAAATAAAATTCATCCATTTTTCATGAATCCAGACGCAACTGTTAATAATAAGATATATACTAATACTATACCAGTATCCTTAGTCGGAGACGTGCTCAACAATTCATTTCCTTCCTTTACTCGAGGAGTAGAAGAAACAACGCGAAAAAACGAATCCATCCTCTTTAGGCTTTTATCCTTCTTGTTGTTGGCAGGCATGGAAAGAGAGCGCGCTATCTTCAGTCGAGTCTCTCTTTTCTGCAAAATAAACTAACAAGATTAAAACGACGGTAACATTAATATTATAAAAGAAGTTGAAAGCATTGCTAAAAATCTTACACTCATATTTCCACCATGAGTGGATTCGGTATTCGAATTTCCAATTTCATCTAATGGCAATGATGAAGTTCTTTTCATCCTAGGAGTAAATATCTTACTAAGTGACAGTGATCTCGAGATCAAAGGCTTTTCTCGATGGCCTGAAGAGGAAACCTCCGGAGTTGATATGTTCATCTTGTCATTATCTGCCGGTGTCCTACTCCTGAAGCTCAATTTCGGTAGCATGTTTCTTAACGATGATTTGCCTCTTGATGTTGCGGATCCAGGAGAATTATTTACGGGAGCATCAACCGACCGAGAAGTCATCAGAAAATTCACTCTCTTAGGAGTAGGACTCGGTGTCATCGGAACTTTGATAGCCACATAATCTTGTGAACACTCTTCTCGTGCTCTTGATGGTATTTCCAACAGAAGATTCTGTTTCTTCCGCGGAGGAACATGTGAGATTTCTTCAATTATCCCCGTCGAACCATCGTTATCCTGTAAATATAAAATCAAATGTAAAAAAGAAACATGAAAAAAAGTTGAGTTCAAATTAGAGATGAGTGGTTCAAGTTGAAAAAAAAACAAAACAAATATACCTTGTGAGCAAGAGGAAGAGAAGCGGTTCTTCTGCAAGATGAAGCCTCATGATCTTCATCAGTGACAGTTTTATTTTCTTCAGAAATCATTTTAGTATTACAAAAGAAAGAAAACAGAGAGAAAGACAAACTCTCAAGAAGTTGCACTAGAAAATAAAGAGAATATTGATAAAATTTAAAAACCACTCATGCCCATGCCACTTAAGTTATTGTGTAGAGAGAAGGAAGAGAAATAAGTGTGAATGAATGAATGTGATTAAGCACAGTAACCAAGTTTTGTTTTGCATTAATTACACAATACAGTTGGGAGTACTGGTGTTATGTTGTGTGGGGTAAACCTGCTGCCACTTTCTTTTGAGTATCCAGTGCGCGCGGACTTTGTACCCCTACACTTTACACTAATATTCGGATAATGTTTTATAATTTTAAATGGAAAAAGCTAACGTGTATTCTAAGAGTACTCTTTTTATAACATTATAAATGAAATTAACATTTTTTTATTATATTTAATAATTAATATATATAGTTTATATATATTAATTATCAAATATATAAAAATAATTAATTTTTTTATAATTCGTTATAGAAGAAGTATTTATAAAAATATTTTCTTAGACCACGTTTATTTAATATTTTGGAAATTTGAATATAATTTTATTATATTTAATTATATTTAAATTTTTTAATTATAACACCTTAACATGCCCTTATGTTAACATGATCCTTCTAAATTTACTAACTACTATCATTATCATCTTATCTTATTATTACAACTTATATAAAAGTTAATAAGCTACCATTAAATAATTTTTTTATCCAAAATTTTAATTAATTTAAATATTCATTTAATTATTTAATAACATTTTTTTTGTATTAAATACATAACTTTTCTTCCTTTAACTATTTAACCCACTTTTTCTTTCTTTTTCTTTTATTAATCTCTTTTATTGAACGAAATCTACATTTTTTTTCTTTAATTTTTATTTACAAAGTATTCTTTTCAAAATTTTTATTCATCATATTTTTTGTGCAAAATATTTTAACAAAATAAAATCTATTTTTTAATTTGCTCTCTTAACAAAATTATTAGAGTCAACCTTACGACGCAACAAAGCCAACTCAACGCGAGTAGCTCTAACAAGAAACCCCCTAGGCGGAATATGAACATGTAGACTTATGTCAGAAGATCGGGTATTGAATTCAACCTACTTGTTTATCACTAACCTTCAAATCTTATTAGATAGACTATTGAACCTCACCTAATCAAGAAGAGTGATTTTAACCGCTTGGTGTATAGAAGCTCTGATATACGCCATAATAGGTGTTCACTTTTGGAGAGCTAACATTGCATATACATCCCTGCTCGACCGTATTGAAGGCTTGTACCACCGCACCAGAAGAACAAATTCCCTTTACATCACCAATCTCATGTTCCACACCAGAATAATGGCGTTGTATGTGCTGCAGGAAGCTTGGACAATGTCTTCAGTGAGGTAGGCACCTTTCTTTGACTAGGGGTGCTTTTCATAAAAAGGACAAGAGATTATGCACCAAATGTGAAGGATGTGTTCTTCTTTTTCATGGGTGCTTATATTTTTTTGGGTAGGTAACTAGCTTTCTTTTAACAATTTTGAGATATTGGTTCTTAATCATATGAAGATTACTCCTTCACAACTGCATATAGTGAGTTGCGTCTACGTCAAAGTCTTGCGAAATTGGTGTGAATAAAAAAGTGAAGGTACGGAGAAACACAAGAAATGGGGGTTTGAATTGAGTTTCAAGAAAAAAAAAAGTTTTGCTCACCCAAGAACACAAACAGTATAGATGCAACAATGATAAAAGACACAAGGGTTTTATCCCGGTTCACTGTTAACAAAGCTACCTCTAGTCCACCCGCCAAGGTAATTTCTCCTTCTCAATAAAGACTTAACCTTCTTGTGAATATTGACTATACCCTAGTCTCTCAAGGAACTAAAATCAAAGTTTACAAAATAAGTAATGTGTTTACAAAGTTTCTTCAAAAAGATGATACACACACTATGAAATACAGACTTTACACTTTAGAAAACTATACAATAAAAAGTTCGAAGTGTAGAGATTTTTCTCTCAAAAATAATTCTTGCTTTTTCTCAATTCTTTCTTCAGTTTTTCACACTTGTAAATCTCGTCTTTCCAAATTTCCACTAGAGGGTGAAGTTGGAAAAACCTCAAAAATGTAGCCGTTATAATTTTTTCTTGTTGTATGTAGTGGTGGTGAGGATGAAATGAGTGGTGACAACAATAGTACAATAGTACAGTCCTTTTTTAAAAAAATTAAGGTAGTGGAAAGGATATCATCGTATTTGTCCTTTTGGAATGTTTAATTTTACCGCTTTTAATGTTGTACTATTCAAGAATATTTCTTTCAATAATTCTTCTAATCAATGGCTTCTTGTATAAAGTGATTTGAAGCTTGATCAGAGTTTTATAGCCTTTTCTTCAAAACTCATAGAGAGTGAGACTTTAGAGTCTTGACTATATAGTAATCACTTCTTCATTAGTAACTCTTTATCAGAATCAGTTGACGAATAAGAGTCTCTTGAACAACATTCAGAATTTGGATTTATCCAGAGCCTAGAGTCTGCTTGATCAGAGTCTCTATCTTCAGATGATGATTATCTTCAGAATTATTTTTCTCTAGATCTTGTCTTTTTTCAAAGTCAGCATGTATCATAATGCATATAGATCAGGTTTGGTGCTCAGATTCTGCATGCTCAATGAAACGATTAGTGTACAAAATTATTCTCCATGCTTTGTTATCATTAAGGATTAATAAGTAGAACCAAACTTATTCCAACAAAAAGAAATGTGTCAAATATGACGCTCTTCTTACATACATTCAACAACCAACACAACTCATCTGACTCTGGACGGGGTTAATATTTACTCTCTCTTAGGTAGGGTGAGAAGATGTTTGAAGTGTTTGTTGACAGTTTGAAAAATTTCAAGGACCGATATCATCTATTCACGCCTCTCATCGAGGTTTATCATGCGAGTACCCATGAGGTTTAACACGTCACACCCCCAAGATATGTTGACAAATTCCCCAAGTTCTGACTTCAAAATCATTTCTTGAACATATCAAGAACATATATTTATCCTCCAGATTACTTGTTTCAAGAGAAGGCCTAATTAAATAATAAGCTTGTGGTCTTCTAGGAAGATCTTGGATTTGGTGACAATGTCAGACCCACTATTCTCGTGTTAGGGAAGTACAATAGACTATACGTAGAGATATTTATTCGGGTTGAGGCGGCTAACAGAGAGAGAGAGAGAGAGAGAGAGAGAGAGAGAGAGAAGGATTAACATGTTTGATAAGGGAATAAAGTACTTTTCCTTTTTGCTTCACCATTCCAAATTTGGTTTTCTTACTATATTCACTTAAACGTTACTCGCATATAAGATGGGTTGATATAAAATGATGCTCTAGATAAGAAGGACATCAAGAAATATTCTTCTCCCCCTAAGGATGTGATTGTGTCGATCAAAGAGGAGGCTCTTCCATTGGGAACTTTTGTTGCTCTAATTTTCATGCCCCTTCCTTGCTCGGAGCGACTTGAGATACAAGACCCTTCCAACTGGACTTTGGATTGGGACATTCTCGGGTAATAGTCGAGGGTGACTAATGAAGGTTTAAGGAGGAGAGATTATGACGGTGCTTCTTAAATTAGTGAGCCCTTTTTCAAGAGGCCTCGAAATAGGGAGCCGTATTCAGGGAGGTGGGATCACATAGAAAGTTTGTTGTTGAGCTCGACAAATTTGTCTCTGTCCTTCCTTGCCCACCCTAGTCCTCAGAGGGATAAGGATATTTGATCTTTAATTTTTTCATAATATTGTGTTTATTGCATAACAATGTCCACCAAGATAATATGGAATAAATAGTGTATCATATGTGTAAGGCTTCTTCCCTTTTGCTTTTGGAGTTACAGAAAAGGGTGAAGTATTGGTGCACGTATGTCTTCGAAAGGAAAAAGATAGGCTTAATGAGTATCTTGGGATCTTGTTATTGAGTGGGATCATTTTCTTTTTGATCTTTCATGTTGGGGTAACCTCTTGAGGTAATTGGGTGAAGAGATGCGAGTGATTAAGACCGTCTTGTTTATTGGTTGGGAAAGTGAAAGTGTTGACTTTGGGGATATAAGAGACAAATACATCCCTAAAGTTGGTTCATAAGGAAGTGTTATACATATAAAACACTTTTAACAATATGAATGTGGCTTTATATTATTCCCATAACATGATAGGGGAGCTGAAGAAGTCTTTGAACGAAGTTGTAGAAGGTTTGAAGAAGGCTCAGAATGACATGTGTTAGATGAAGTGTGAAAATTTCCATTTGTCTAAAGAGTGAATGAATATAAAGGGTGGAGATTCATCTTAACAAGGAGATAAAATATGGGAGAATGATCATTCTCAGTGAGAATTTTTACTCATATGCATTGTACTTTTTTAGCTTATTAGTGAGTTATCTTTGTAAGAATTCTATGTATCGTTTGAGACATGTTTTTTTATTTTTGTTTAATTTTATTGTTGTTGTATTTCTTTTAAGAATGGAATTATTTTCTTGCTTACTTATCACAATACCTATCTTTGGGGGCTACCATTATGGCTCTAAGGTTATCTTCCCAAGTATTTTTAAGTTGTCACGAGGTTGTAGATGCTTGTAAGGAATGGACCTGACCAAGGGTATGCTCCTCTTCCTTTCTCCCAAGTTAAGAATTGGTTAGTGTCTGACTCTATGGTATTCACCTTCTACGCTCTATAGTGGTTGGTTATCAAGTGGGGGGGTTAAGCCCAGATCACCACCTACATTTTTTAGGTTTGTTGTCTTTTATTAAATGACTTTCACTGTACGAATTTGATTACTTTAGTAGTGAATCATAGTATTTATGACAATACTCATTTTATTTATTTGTACTTATTAATTACATCATAATAAATGAATGAATTTGGTGAAGAATTTGTTTATATGCTGAAAACGAAAATATGGATGAAATTACTTAATGAAAATGATATAGCAATTGCTTTATTATCCTAGGCAGACTATCTCTTAT